ATATGTGAAATTGTTCCTTTAAAAAGCTTGTGTTACGTAATATCAAGTACCTTATTTCAGAGAAGGTATTTAATGGGTGCGTCTAGATGTGTGCCTTACTGCACAGCAGGCTAATTTACTGCTCAGTAAAGCATCACCATCTACATGTTTGTGGAATTAGGCTGGTGTAGACTAGTTTACTGTGCCATTGGACAGTCCTGTCAGACACAAGTACTATCCGGTGGTGCATTAAAGTACTGTGCTTAAACACATGTGTAGAGGGTGATGGAGCTGGCTGGGGCACTACGGTGCTTCAGCATGGGGGCTGCCTGCTGGCTAGCCCCATGCTGAAGCACTCTCGTGCCCCAGCCAGCCCCTCTACATAACATGGAGCCTGGTCAGAGCAGCCTTGGCCTGGTAAGCCAGGACTGCTCCCACTAGGCTCCATGTGCTGCGCATGAGTAAACACTGGAGCAATAAGCTCCCGAGTTTATTTGTGCGCATTAATTACAAGTATAGACATGCTCACTGTGGGGCAGAGCTGTATTGCTACCCGGCACATCCATAGGTAGCAGATAGTGGAATGACTTTCAGGGAAGGTTAGCTGTGAAATAAGTAGGGAGGGAATGAGCAGCCACAGACCAAGCAGCAGCAGCACCACTAGGATGTGGTGAGGAAAGCAGATGGCAATGCTTTCCCTCCTGAAAAGCCACATATATCCTTTGACAGTGTTGTGACATGGTGAGTACAGGTTGCCACCATAATAAGCCTGCCCAGCCCCCAGCCATGGGTCTACAAGTCCTCAATGACACAGCAGGCAGGAGAAGATGTTAGAATCTCTGTGGCTGTGAAGGCAGATGAAGCGCTGCAGCAGAACGAAATCCCCGGTTGTCTTGGTTTCCTTGCCTTTGGATCAAGGTCCTGTTCTGCTAAGAGCTGTGTGGAAGCTGATGTGCAGCAGCTTCTCCATGATAAAAGAAGTCACGCTTAGGCATCTTCCAGGAAAACAGCTTTTTCATCACATTCCTCAAGCTCTTTGGCAACCAGCTACTGGAGATAGAAGCAGGATTGTGAGGTCTGGAAGCTCCTAGTTATGTACTGGCACAAAGGCAGCAGTTACAAGAGAGTTGTCTAGTACTTGAAGGAAGCAGAAGTGTGATTTGGCAGCTGTAATGACTAAGCAGCCCTCTCCAGGATCTGCCCTGCTCACCCCACATGGGAAGGGGGTTAGAAAAGGTGCCCTAAACATAGCCTAATACAGTATTCTGTATTTCTTCCTGATTGGATAGCCATGTACAGTGGAATCACCTTTTTGTGATCAAAAATACAAGTGAAAACACCCCAACATTTTAGGGACCTGGAACATCAGGCACCTCACAGACAACACTAATATTGAACTCCCAGAGTGCTGCACTGCAGTTGTGGCCCAAAGACTCGGGCAACACATCAATGTAATGCACTGAGTGTGACCAAGCGAGCGGGAAATGGGTAGCCCAAAGAATGTGGCGGTGGCTATACCTTCTTCTGGAAGGGTAAAAAATAAAGAGAATGCCGACTTCACAGAGTTGGTTTTGCCATTAAGACTGAACTCATAAACCAACTCAATGAGTTCCTTATCAGAATTAATGAGTGCCTCGTGGCTCTGTCTTAAACTGGTGGGAAGCCAACACGCCACTGTCATCAGTATGTATGCCCCAACTCTTGACACTGCCTATGAAACCAAGGAGGAATTCAATGCCAGTCTTGACCAAGTCCTTTCTGACATTCTGGAGGGAGACAGACTTATTTATCTTGGTGATTTCAACACTAGAGTCAGAAGGGACTCTGACCTCTGGAAAGGAACCACTGGCAAGGAAGGAGTAGGAAAAGTCTACTCCAATGGCATCCTCCTCTTGACCAAACATACGGAACATGGACTCACCATCACCAACATCCTGTTCCCCCAGAAAAAACAGGGACAAGACATCACAGCAACACCCACGATCTAAGTATTGGCACCTGATTGACTAGGTCATCATTTGTGCCCAGGATCACAAAGATGTCCTCATCACCCAAGCTATGCTAAGAGCTGATGATTGCTGGACTGATCACAGACTCATTTGCTCAGTTACATCACTCAGACTGGTTCCCAAACGATGGCTGCAGCAGAAGCAATGCCGGTGGAAGATCAACATTGAAGGACTCTAAGGGGGAAGTGTTTGAAGATCACGACATCAGATCTGAAATCAAGTTCATGGTTTATCAAGCAGTTGTGATCCTGACCTTGCTGTACAGAGCTGAGACATGGGCAACATACAGGAGACTCTCAAGTTGTTGAAGTACCATCAGTGCCATCTGCAGAAGATCATCTGAATCCAGTGGGAAGACAGACACACCAATGTTAGCATTCTCCTGCAAGGAAACACCATGAGTATTGAGGCAATGATCATCTAACATCAATTTTATTGGGCCAGCCATGTTATCTGGATGCTCCAGACTCCTGAAGCAAGTTTTATTCTCCTAGCTCAGCCAAGGCCAACTTAAAAAAAGTTCTCTGCCCTCCACTCAAGAGGAGAGCAGAGAAAGTGCTTCAGGAATATCCTCAAGGCCAACTTAAAAAAAAAAGCAACATTGATGTCAACTCATGGGAGACTATCACTCAGGACTGCCCCAAATGGAGAGTCTGTTGCTGGGATCTCAGTACTTTGAAACCTCACGACAATAACAGGAGCTGGAAAAGCGGGAGTGTCAGAAACAGCATGCTGTGGACTGAATCAGGAATTCAGCACCACCCACCCCACATGGAAACACACGTTCAAGCTGCAGTAGAGTTTCTCAATCCCAAAGAGGCCTCATCAGCCATCTTTGGACACACAGATAAGACAATCATAGAAGACAATCATCCTCAACTGTGAGGAATTACTGAAGAGAAGACATGCCCCAAGCCTGTTGTTTCCTGATTATGGGGCCAGTTCTATGCTGCCCCAGGCCTTGGCATAGTTTAGAGCAGTCTCAGGACTGTTTTAAGTTATGGCAGTCACCTGACTACCCAGAGAATGGTATGCCAGCCAGAATGGAGCAGTATTCGAGGCATGTCCCGTTTTCCTGACTACTCTCAACATCAGTTATGTGAGGGAGTTCCCAGAGAACTGATTATGCCCAACCAAGGTATAAGAATTTGCCCCAAAGTCCTATGCCTGACTTTTTATTTTAAAGCATGTCTGCTTTAAGGAGGAAGTGTTGGTACCCACTTTTTACATAATGGCCTAGTCATTAGAACAAATCACACAGAAGTGAGAGACCTGGGTTCAGTGCTCTCCTTACCTACCTCCCCTGACAATGTCCTCACCACTAAGCAGTCTACTCTTAAGTAGGGGAACTGCCTGTCCCTCCTGTTGAACTTATTTCATTTCACAGAAAGAAATGCAATATTCAAGAGCCTGTGATACAGCTAGAGACTGCATGATACTACAAAGAATATCTAGCCACTGCTGCATTGGCTGTTTTTGCATCATCTTACATAAGGCTCAGAAGTGGTGATGTGTAGGGGTGAATGGGGGTGCATATGCACCCCCTGAGAATGCTGATGCACCCCCTAACTGGCTGCCCTCCCTGCTTAGGTGATGGGCAGGGGAGGGCAGGTGGGAGTGCCAGTGCCTTCCCTGCGAGCACCGACCAGGGAGTGGGAGCGCCCAATTTAGGCCACAGCCACTTCCAGAAGCACTGCAGCTACTTTCGGGAGCAGTGCACCCAGTCACCGGTTGGTACATTTTGCTGCGGAGGGACCCTCCTACCCCAGTCGGCAACATTGGCTGTGGGGGGAACCCCCTCCTGGTTGCTGACTAGTCACGGGGGGGGGGGGCATTTGCCCCCCCCAACTAAGCTGGCACCAGTCACCCATGAGGCTCAGTGCCTGCCCCACCCAGCCCTTATAACTACAGAGTCTGGCTCACTCTTGCACATTCGCTCACTTGACGTTATGTGCTTTCTCTCTCCCTCCTCCCCCCAACCACATCCACCCTGGCCCATGAATCTTGAATTTCCTTCTGTACAGCATCAGCAGGAGGGATGGAGTGTGTTCCCACTGAGAATAGCTTATAGCCTGATTGTTTACTTTTTAAAATATACTACTAGCACATAGATTTCTTGGACACTTTACAATGCTATTCTTCCACATTTAGGCCTTAGTCATTTGAAAGTGAATCTGTCAGGCATTCATAGCATCACAAAAGAGAACTACTCAATACCCAAGCAAGCTAAGTAGATGACATTAACTCTGGAGAATATTTAGAGATTCCATATGATTTCTTTATTTTTTCTGTACAGACAACTACGGAAAAAAATGGAAGCAACATGAAATGCAGAATATAATCTTTACTTAAAAAAAAATCTATTAACAGAGTTCCGTTATTTACATCAATGATGAGAATTTATAATTTACAGTTTGTCTACACCTTCCTCAAGAGAATTTCAAAACACTTTAATATAAAACTTTACCACAACTTGACAGCAAGAAGCATAAAGTCACAAAAGCAATGCAAGATTTACTAAATTAAATAAGATGATTTTCAAAATTAAAGGTTTTAATAAGAATCTTCACAAGTATCATGACTTTTGTCCTCCTCCATCTGTTGACTGGAAAGGAATGTATACTATACTTCTTTTTAATATTTTTTATTCTGTTGAACAAGTTTTTATTTTATATTTCTTATCTGTGCATGTTATGTAATAATAACAAAACATTTAGAACAATGAAAAAAACCCCATCATTATAAGTGCTTGAAATAAATGTGTTGGCCAAAGAAAAATAAGGGAAAATAAAAAAGCTCTTTCTAGTTGTAAGGGGGATTTAATTGTAGGCTATTAAAATTGAAATCTACAATGATATCAATTCCTCTTTGTTGCAGGATAATGGAGGCAAACACATGCATTATTTCAGGGAGATGGAAGGACAGACAGAGAGACTTCTACTCAATATGGAGATGCCTATGCAGAAAATTCAACCACTGAGTCATAGCTGTCCTCAGTTTTCAAAAACATCCCATGTGCCAGAAGGAAAAATTGGATGGAGTCATGCTACTTTCAAATCTCTGGAACATGGTTTAAAAACAGTAAAACTTACAGTGATCCATCCTATTCACTAAATAGACTGGGACTGATGCAAATGCTAAAATAATAATATTTTTTTCTGCTTCTTTAACACATTTCCTCTAGGAATCTCATATCATTATCCAAATATCAAAAGAGATTCGTAGCAGCACTATGCTGTGGCTACCATAATGATGTGACTGACGTACAGAGGTAGCAAACTGAGGTACAGCGATGTTACTTGTCTTAACCAAACACAACATGGCAAGTCAGTGATGAGTTTGGAAGCAGAGACCAAAGGACAAACTCATCGCTGACTTGCACCTTCTATATATCTCTGTCATCAGCGCAAAGTGGATGCAGAATTTTACCATTCTGATAGCATTCTGGTAGCGGTTTACATCCTAGAGACCTCAAAGGCCCTTTTGTCCCTGTCTCTAGTGGATTATGGAATAGAGAAAGATCCCACACAATTTACTGATTTGTTTGATGCGCCTGGCTGGGGGAGTATTTGGTTGACTGCACGATTTCACAATGATTGCACACTTAATTCATACAACACAATTTTATTTTAAAATTCCTTGCTACACATATAACACTGCTTACCTTTAAGAAATCCTTCGCAAACAATGCTAAAAGAATGAGTATTACAAAAACAACTACAATTACAAGTAAAGGTTATTTCTCATGGTATACTTACAATCCTAGAAGTCCGAGAAACCAAATCCCCAGGTATACTTTCATTCTTTAGTTATGGTTTTAGGGTTGGTCTCAGCAGTGATAGGAACAAGTCCGCTTCCTGCAGTCCCACTCGGGTACTCCGCAGCTTCAGTGTGAACGGGAGTTCTCGTTCACGGAGAGGGTGGTTCAGGTGATTGGTCTGATCCGGCCTATACTTGCGATTCTTTCTTCGGTGTTCTCCAAGTGAGGTTACCTCTGAACTGGGACTGTAGGTTAGTTTTACTGGGTGAGTTGCTGTCTTGGGCCCCTCCTACCCAAACCTGTCACTACTCCCAAATATGGGCTCGGATCTTTTAACAGATTTCTGCTGGGTGGTCAGTTTGTATTCTTGAATTTGGAGATTTTCCACAACACCGCTGTGACCTCTCTTGCCATCCCCCTTTCACGAGTCCCTAGGTTTCGATCTCTCGGAATGTCTGCCCAAGGGCTGCTTTTAGGTTAACTTTGTTAAAGGCCTCTAGAGATAAAATTCAAAAACCAAGACATTCAGCACGTTCGCTGCAAGGCCTCTAAAGATAAAATTCAGAATCAAGACATTCAACACGGAGGCAAAAACAAGCAATGGCCTAGATAAGATGAACCTTGCCTTTTTTCTAAACTGTCTAATGGGTATTTATTACAAACATTCAAACTATTACATTCAATATGACAGTCCCCTGATCCTGCCACTAAGCAATGCTTTCTTAAAGCCATCTCAGGGCAACTACAACAGAGTCAAAAAGGAATTCCTCCTCACAGAGAGAATGGAAATGGTGAAATGTCCCTGGCCGGGAATTAATGCTATGAGAACGGAGACCTCAGGTGACATTAAGCTATGAGGCCTTGCTTGTATAATACCCAACCTCTAAATCCCAGCATGGGGAGCACCTCGGAGATCAGAAGAGGAAATAACTGAACTGCTTTGCTTCAGCTGGATTTTAGCTTAAGTAAATTGACCAGTTTGGGATCTGTGTTTCTAATTTCCATAGACTCCTTTGGAAATCCATAACATAAGACCTACAGTCTGCTAGGCTTCAACTCGAGCAGGGGCATCAAAAATCTGGCCCACAAAGCCCTATCATTCAGCCCATGGTGCTAACTATGGGTCACACAACTGACCCCATGCAATGCATGCAGCATGTACAGGGCCAGTCTGGGGCACACACTGCACACACCGTAGAGTTGGTCTGTGAGCACAATCCAGCCCATGGATTGGCTCCGCACCCTTCATCCAGCCTGGGGGGCAGATAAATGTGATACGCCTGGACTTGGAGCAATGGGAATGAAACAATATATAGCTACTAAGAAAGGAAGAGCACGCACTTCGGCTTTATCTTAAGCTTCATTTACTTTTCTCAACAAACCTATATAGTCTCCTCCCCCTCAGCCTCATTCACTCCTATACAGTTCTTCTCTCTCCCAAATTCCAGCACCATCACAAGGCTCTTAAAATTGGGGAAAAAAAGAATATAAATAGTTAGGAAAAGCACTACGTTTACTGATTTCTTTTGTGATCACATCAAATCTAAGAAGTATATTTGCTTAGGTATACCTGTTGGTTACTGTTATAGGAAAAAACACTCTGCTATGTTCATGTCTAAGAGCTTATACCACAGAATAAACCTATAATTACAATTCTGTAATTCTCAAACTCAAGGATTGAGACAGTGATTGAAGATAAATCAGCAGGAACCAACTCTGATCAATCCTCAGGAGA